AACATGACATCCTCCTCACGAGACAAATGACCGTGGTCCTTGTGTCTGCTTTGCCGATTTCGAAGTCAACTTTCCAAGGCTCTGCAAAATTCACCAAAAGCAGGGACGTTGTGCATACAAAGGGCGACTCACCCATGTTCTTATATACACAAACTCAAAGTTCCCCAAGGTTGACCGAGCCGCGGGGGCGTTTGTTTGTTGTTTGTTTCCGGGTATGAGCTTTCTAGCCGCGTCCAATGGGATAAACCCTGGTTACCTGTTCATGCGTCGACAAGAACAAATTGAATAGTCCCCCAGCTGAAAGCTTTGGTGTCTTTGCCCAGGTTCTCGAGTGGTGAGCGAGTTTGGGCTAGGGTTCCGCAAGGGTGGAGTGCAAAGGGCATTGCTGTTGGGGACACCACCTGGGCGTATGTTTTGTGTGCTTTGGGGTGCATGTGTGTGTGAAAAACATGTGGCCCCGTTTTGGATCGCCAATGGGATCCAAACAAAGAACTAAGCATGCCGTTTGTGCCATGCTCAAAATACAAATTCACCTGGAGTTACAAGGGGTGGTCATCCACCTAGTAAAGATGCTTCATAACTTAATGATTAAGGCAGTCATGACCATGAACCATTTTAGGAGTTTTGACGCGGTTTGGATGCCGCAGCTTTGTCCGCCTGGCAGGCAGAACACGATATGGACAACCTCCGTCCAGTGGACGTCATCAGCCGAGGCGCGAAGTTTGGCAGCGGGGTGGATTCCTGAAATTCGGCACACACCAAGCGCAATGCAATGAAACCTGCCTGGGAAGTCATCTGAATTAGCCAAACAAATTGTATGGGAAGGTTCTTCTAATTTAGGGGGCCAAAAGTACTTAAAAATAGTTGCCAACTAGAATTATAATATTTGGTCTTGACGTACCCCAGAACCTCACTGTTGAGGCTCCTAAATTGCCTGCTTTCTTGCTGCTCAACTGGTTCTCCCTGGTTGGCCCCTTTGGCCAACACACCGAAGCGAGGGGCTTGAGCCCTGTCCGCTGGAACCGCACGATTCAATCTCCAACTTGTGTGGGACCTCTGGGTGTGTGCGTGGTTTTATTGAAGGGGACCTGCCCAACACTGCCGGCTTTCTTGTGGTTTGCCTTTGAAGACCAACCACAGGGGTGCGTCTAGAAAGTGGCAGTTTCACTGGAACCCAGCAGTCCTCTTGCAACTTTCGGAAGGGAAATTCAGTGACCCCTGTTCGAGATGGGCAATTGGTAGCTCTTCGCTACTTAGATACCAATAGCGCATCAACCGGTCTTCTGGCTGACCACTTTTGATCCGTTTGTGTCCTCCCAAAGGGCGAACATCTGGGGATTCCATTGGAGTTTAAGCTACGAGCAGCCCATTTCTGGGACTTGCATATACGGTCATGTCATAGCCACAAAAACAGATACCCGCTCATCCACCAACTTGGAACCTGACTGGGGGGTCCTGGAAGACTGGTTTCCTTTCCCTCGCCCAGAATACGTCCTGTCCTGTCGGGGAACACGGAATATTGTTCGTGGATTATCTGGGTACCGTCCCACAAACAAACATATAACCTGCACAGGGTTTCCTGGAAGATCATTTTCCTTTTTAGGGGGACCCCTCTGGGAGGATCCAAGTAATGGGTGGGCAGCGAGAAGGCTGGTTGCCCGATCTGATGAGATTATTTGAGGCCGTTGCAAGGATTGCTGGGAACCATGATTATCTTCATACACTTGCAGAGCTGAAGGATGATGTTGAATGACAGAAGACTTTCAGATGAGCTACTCATACCTTTGTGGCTTTCAGTTAATCCAAGATGGTTTCCACTACCCCCAAACCACTACCCCGAGGGAATCAGAGTATATGCCCTTTGTATAATAGTGGCTATATAGTTGCTATGTAGTGGCTATGCTATGGCTGCATATTTTTTTACCCCCCCCGGGTGTATAGAGTTAGTGAAAAGCAGCTTAGACACACAATTGTGTATGATGAATAGTCCAGTTGCGGGAAACATTTCAGGAGCTAGTCACTGCTTGCGCGTGTTATGTTCTTGGGATTGCAGTTTATGTGGATTTCTTCTTGGTTTTCCTTTTAAAGCCACCAAAAGTGCGTCTTTTTTCGGGGAGCCCCACATTGCCAGATTGTGGTTTTCCCGTTGGCTTTCCCTGAGTGCGGGGCAAACAACTCCAAACAGGGTGGAAACGTCCTCTCGGACTGGCGAGGTGGGCATTGCCAGACGACGTGCGCCACTTCCATTTCGGATTATTCGCCGCGTTCGCCGCGTTCGGTGGCTGCGAGTCCTTCTGTATGGGTCATAGCTTTCCTGGAGCTGTCTTTTTTTTGTTTCCAGGGCGGATTCGATTCTGATTTTTCGAGGTACCTCTTTTGTTTGCACCTGGGAATCCCAATCCAATTTTTGGGATGGCACGATATGGCACAGGCCATAAAAGGGATCCAGGGCCCCCGGGAGGTTCGGTCGGGGGACGTGTGGTAGACTTAAACCCCTTGGTTTTCCCTGTTGTTTGGGGGGGGGGGAAATCAACCACCTCGAGGTAGGCCAAAAGTGGAACCCTGCACGGAACTCGCGAAGACCAGGGGGAAGCTCACAAGTTTCCACGTCCTTTAGGGTGGCTCGTGTGCCAGGATCGACTCACCCTGTGGCTTTCATTTGCTTCAGACGAATCTTATGTCCTGCTGCTTTTTTTTCCCCGTTTTTTGTTTTCCTTCTTTTTTTCAGGGAAGTCGTCATGGCTAACAAGATGTTGTTTAGAACCTCAAGCAAAATGAGGGGATATAAAAGTTGAGCGCCACGGACATTGTTGACAGTTGGGATTCAAGACAGCAGGATTTCAGTTCAGGACCCCGGGAGGTTGACATTGGCAAGATTATTGGGACCCTCCGTGGCCTGAAGAACCTCGCACCAACTGCTCAGGGTGCACAAGCCTTACTTAGTAGGGTAGGGAAAGCACGGCCAACGCAGACTTCAAGATCAGGCTGTAAGGGTTAAGGCGTCTGTTGAGGACTACTTGAGGCGGGCAGGGCACTTACCCAGAGGTAAGTTCGCCACCATGGTTGTGACCCACCTGGGGGACTAGCAATCATGGTCAGTGGGTTTAGTACGGTTACAAACTAAGCGTACGCAGTCGCCTCTTCGAGATGCTAAGCTGAGTCAGGTACGCTTTGCGGCAGCTGTACGTGACGCTGCCGAGCTTGAAGTAGATCCGAGAACGTCACCATCCTCCGGCTTCCAACTTTCCAGTCCGGCTGAACGGACTGCGCATGGATTCACATGTGAATGGATTCCTCTTGGATCAGATCCTTTACTTGGGTCCTTTTTTTCTGGATAAAGAATACTTTGTATTTCTGGGCCTGCGGCCTCTAGCCGGCTACTCCTCTTTGAAGTTATACCATGTCATGTCATGTTTTTTGTATGAGAAACGTATCCTGTGCTATGATATGGCTGGTTAGGTTATGCATGTTGCCCACCCCAACCCCAGATGATGCCGGGGACCAGCTTTCTGGGCCCTAGCCGGGACCCAAACCAGAAGGCTCACATGGGGTCGCGCGCGCGCGCGCCAGAGGCCGCAGAAACAGCAGCCCAAAAAGAACAGCCCGCAAGCCAGCCCGGAAACGCAAAAGCAACAAAACACCGTAAATAGCAGTGTTTTTGTGGCTGGGGTCGCGCGCGCGCGCGCCAAAAGGCCCGAAAACCAACGCGAAAAAAGCAAGGACCGCGCAGCACGCAAGCCAGCCACAGCAAAAGCAAAACGGACAGAACAACAGCCCACCGCTCAGCACAGCAGTTTTTGACGGTATTTACAGCGTTTTGTATCTTTTGCATCCCCAGCTTCACCAGCATCATCCTGCCGGTGCCCGGGGTGATGCTTTGCATGCTGGGGATGCAGGAGCTGCCTTTTTGGTCTTCAAATGTCGGGAAAAAAGGCAGCTTGCATCCCCCGCTTCACCAGCATCATCCTGCAGGCGCCCGGGTGATGCTCTGCATGCTGGGGCTGCAGGAACTGCCTTTTTGGTCTTCGAATGTCGGGAAAAACAGGCAGCTTTTGCATCCCCCGTTTCACCGGCATCATCCTGCAGGTGTCTGGGGTGATGCCTGGCATGCTGGGGATGTGGGATGGCTTCATGCGGGGATGATGAGGCTGATGATGATGCTGGATGGCGAGGCCGATGATGGCGCAGCTGATGATAATGATGATGAGGAAATGAAGATAAATAGAAAGGGAAAGGATGACGATGATGCTGCTGATGCTTATGAATGAGGACGATGCATCATCATCATTGTCATCATCCACCATGTCAGCAGCATCAGCACCATCGTCATCCTCATCCTCATCAGCTTGCAGATCATCATCCTCATCATCCTCCTGATCATCATCATCATCGTCACCATCATCATCATCATCATCATCGTCATCATCATCAGCGGGCGTCATCATCATCATCACCGGCATCATCATCATCATCGTCATCATCAGCATCATCATCATAATCATCATCATCGTCTTCATCATCCTCAGCAGCATCATCAGCATCATCATCATCATCGTCGTCATCTTCCCGTAGTCCTCCGTCATCTTCGAGTAGTCTTCCGTCATCTCCCCGTAGTCTTCTGTCATCCGTCATATTCCCATCAGCTTCCCGTAGTCTTCCGTCAGCTTCCCATAGTCTTCCGTCCTCTTCCCGTAGTCTTCCCGCAGTCTTCCGTCATCTTAATTTTTAGAACATGCCGCGTGTCTAAGTAGACCAATGCTGCGGCAGAATCGGTTTTCAAATGGGCCCTTTGGCCGCCGGCTTACCAGACGCCGTGCCAGGAGGTGCGGGAGCTGGGCCGGCGTGCGCTCCTGCGGGGCCTGCCCCACCGGGTGGCCTTCCGGTGGGCCAGTGCCCGCAGAAGCCCGCTGGAAGAGGACAGCGCTGGGCCCAGACAGCTGGCGGTCATTTTTGCTGGCCCATACCAGAGCTGCTGAGTCGAAGGCCAGGCGCAAGGGCCCAACGCGCGGCTGCGCCACGCCTGCGCGGCCTCGAGGCGAGGGGAAATTCTGCGGGCAGCGGTTGGGCCCTGGGTGGGCCTCTTTATTCGCCTATCCTTGTCAGGCTTCCTCAGGAGCGTGGAGCTATTTATGAAATGCTCGGAACCGTTTATTAAATTACCCCAGCATTGCAACCCAACAACATCATGGCTAGGGCAAGGCCTACGTCACGCGAGCCATCGCGTATGAATCCACAGTCCAAGCACGGGCTTCTGATTTCAAGTACGGGGGCTGCTCCGTGGCCGTTGACCAGGGCAAGGGGGGCAATTGTTCCCAACGCAGAGAATGGGGCAACGCTACTTTAATCTTGGGCAATACGACCTTCCTCCCTGACAATCATTGCTTCGGTGGGGTCATCGAACACGTCCGAGGTGGAGTCTCCTACAGCCGAAGAATGCTCCAGACCCTCATAAGCCGCTTCAAACTCCGCAGTTGCTGCGTCATCAAATGCTGAGTATGGCATCGAGGCATGCGCCGGAAAGCGCTCAACCCAGAACACAAACACACAAACACACAAACACACAAACACACAAACACACAAACACACAAACACACAAACGCACAAACGCACAAACGCACAAACGCACAAACGCACAAACGCACCAACGCACCAACGCACCAACGCACAAACGCACAAACGCACAAACGCACCAACGCACCAACGCACAAACGCACAAACGCACAAACGCACAAACGCACAAACGCACAAACGCACAAACGCACAAACACACAACGCACAAACGCACAAACACACACACACGCACAAACCACAAACACACAAACACACACACACACACACACACACACACACACACACACACACACACACACACACACACACACACACACACACACACACACACACACACACACACACACACACACACACACACACACACACACACACACACACACACACACACACACACACACAGACACACACACACACAGACACACACACACACACACACACACACACACACACACACACACACACACACACACACACACACACACACACACACACACACACACACACACACACACACACACACACACACACACACACACGCCCACACGCACACACGCCACGCGCACGCGCACGCGCACGCGCGCGCACGCGCACGCGCACGCGCACGCGCACGCACGCGCACGCGCACGCGCGCGCACGCGCGCACGCGCACGCGCACGCGCACGCGCACGCGCACGCGCGCACGCGCACGCGCACGCGCACGCGCACGCGCACGCGCACGCGCGCACGCACACGCGCAACGCGCACGCGCACGCGCACGCGCACGCACAGCGCGCACGTCGCACGCGCACGCGCACGCGCACGCGCACGCGCACGCGCACGTGCACGCACACGCACACGCACACGCACACGCCACGCACACGCCCACGCCCCCGCCCCCACCCGCCCCCGCCCCCGCACCCGCACCCGCACCCGCACCCGCACCCGCACCCGCACCCGCCCCCGCCCCCGCCCCCGCACCCGCACCCGCACCCGCACCCGCACCCGCACCCGCACCCGCACGCGCACGCGCACGCGCACGCGCACGCGCGCGCGCGCAGAACACAAACAACTTGCGCCCCCCGCAAACCGAATTTCGCACACTGGAAACAATTACTTAAAGATTCTGAATGACGGTGGCCTGGGGCTTATGGATTTGTGGGCTTCCTTCAGCAGCTGGAAAAAGGGCTCGACAAAGTTCCCCAAGCAAAGGTCGCGGGCCGGGTTTCAGCCAGGCGTCGCCAGGGTTCCAACCAAAGCAAACAGGGGCGCAGCCAAAGATTCCAAAGTTCCAAGCAGAATTGCACAGCAGGGTTGCTTGAAACGCCCCCAAGGTTCCAGGTAGGGTTCCAAGGTTCCAGGTAGGGTGCCCCAGTGTGCCAAGCGGCCCAAACAGGGGCTCCGCATTTCCGAGCAGCTTTGCACACAGAGTTCCGGCATTTTTCTGGGCAGTTCAAAAATTCCATGCTATCGGGGCTCCAGGCCAGGAGGGTTCCAGGTCAGGTTTCAAGATTCTAGGCAATGTCCGAAACAAGGTTCCAGGCCTTCCGTCACCGTCCCGGCAGCTTCCCGTAGTCTTCCGGCATCTTCCCCTTGTCTTCCGTCGTCTCCCGCAGTCTTCGGTCATCTTCCCGTAGTCTTCTGTCACCTTCCCGTCATCTTCCCGTAGTCTTCCGTCATCTTCCCGTAGTCTTCCGTCATCTTCCCGCAGTCTTCTGTCATCTTCCCGTACTCTTCCGTCATCTTCCCGTAGTCTTCCGTCATCTTCCCGCAGTCTTCCGTTGTCTTCCCGTAGTCTTCCGTCATCTTCCCGTCAGCTTCCCGTCGTCTTCCGTCATCTTCCCGTAGTCTTCTGTCATCTTCCCGCAGTCTTCCGGTGTCTTCCCGTAGTCTTCCGTCATCTTTCCGTCGATTCTCGTAGTGTTCCGTCATCTTCCCGTAGTCTTTCGTCATCTTCCCGTAGTCTTCCGGCATCTTCCCGCAGTCTTCCGTCATCTTCCCGTCAGCTTCAGTCTTCCGTCATCTTCCCGTAGTCTTCCGGCATCTTCCCGCAGTCTTCCGTCATCTTCCCGTCAGCTTCCCGTACTCTTCCATCATCTTCCCGCCGTAGTCTTCCATCAGCTTCCGTCATCTTCCCGTAGTCTTCCGTCATCTTCGTGCAGTCTTCCGTCATCTTTCCGTAGTCTTCCGTCATCTTCCCGCACTCTTCCGTCAGCTTCCCGGCAGCTTCCCGTAGTTTCCGTCATCTTCTCCTTGTCTTCCGTCGTCTCCCGCAGTCTTGTACTTTCATCATCATCATCCATCCTCACGGTTAGAGGTTAAGGTTAGAGGTTAGGGTTAGAGGTTAGGGTTAGAGGTTAGGGTTAGAAGTTAGGGTTAGATTAGAGGTTAGGGTCAGAGGTTAGGGTTAGAGGTTAGGGTTAGAGGTTAGGGTTAGAGGTTAGTTAGAGGTCAGGGTTAGAGGTTAGGCTTAGGTTAGAGGTTGGGGTTAGAGGTTACGTTAGAGGTTGGTGTGTCAAAAATCCGCCGCGGGACCCCCCCTCCCCCCCTCAGACTCCCCCTAACCACCACTTAGAACACGCCTCGCCCCTTTGCAGAGACTAACTTTGCTTTTGCAAAGGAGTCGGCGGATTTTCCCTTGTTGGTTTCAAAGGGAATCTATCACTACTGGAAACATTGTTTTTTTCCAGGGAGCTCAAGCAAATGGAAGTTTTGGATAAACGCCCCTTAAAAAAAACCTGAATCCCAGCGAATGAGTTGTTTGGATCCAGGTTCCGCTTGGATGCGTGTCCACAGCTTATGTCCGGATGTCCCATTGTAGTTTGCTCACGACCCGGCGATCCGGAGCAAAACCGGCAGCAATGTGTGGACTGCTTTTGGAATGACTAGGTCCCCCAGCTAGGTGCCCTTTCTCACCCCCTTGGAAAGGTTCCCCTACTAAAATACACTACAGAGAAAAAAAGATACCCTTATTCTAACCTCTCTACTGGAGGACCTAGATGAGCTTACCCACCAGGAGGGCCCCTGACATAGGCGTCCTTTTGGGTCAGCTTGATAGCGATGGATTCCACTGGTGTCTGTTTCTCACTTGCCCAAAGCGAATCGATTTTGTTTGACCTTTTGGCTTCCCAATGGTGGTCCATCTGTCGTCGTGGCCCCAGAGGTTGACTTTTTATGTCTGGGCCCTTTGGGCAGCTCGAATGTGGTTCTCATCACAGTCTGAGCATCGGACAGTATTATCATACAGCATGGTCAGGGTATCGGTTTGGGTGGACCTTTCGGTTTTGCAGATTCTGTCGTGTTGGGGAGTCCTTTATCCGAAATCCGCGTATATTTCCCTGTTTGGTGGTTGTCAACCGTTGTTTTATGGGGAAGTATCCCTGTTTATCGCTAGTTGTTGGCTCTTGTCAAACACTCCAGCACGATCAAGTTCGAAGTCCGGGCTCAGGGAGTGTCACAATAGAGCCCCCCAAAAAAATGGGCGGGGAGGGGGGGTGTCGGCACTTGTCCTTTTGGTTTTCGCTTAAAGTAAGGAGAAAAGGGTACATTCCAGAAAACACACACGCCCGCTGACTGACTGACTGACTGACTGACTGACTGACTGACTGACTGACTGGCTGGCTGGCTGGCTGGCTGGCTCACTCACTCACTCACACACACTCACTCGCTCACTCACTGACTCACTCACTCGCTCACTCACTCACTCACTCACTCACCCACTCCCTCACTCAGCCACTCTGACACACACACACACCTTATTTATCCTAAGTGTGGCAGCTGGATTGACAACCAACTGCAGGCAACAGACCAGGGCTGGATGCATTTAGGAAAAGGTGTCCTTCCCAGCATGTCCTAAGTGCTTTGCTCCATGTTCAAAACCACGAGTACAATTCAAGAAGCCTCCACCAAAGCGTTGGACGTGGGTCAGAGCAGTCATTGTGCTGGTCTGGTTGGATCCTTGTTGGGGGTTTGCTTGGGTGTGTCTCAAAATGAGCTTGTTTTCTCTTGGCAATCCAATTTAGAACCATCCAAAAAGATCCAAAAAAGGGCTCCCAGCATTTGCGACATGTATCATGGTCAGAACTACCCTTGAACTTGGGCTTGGTAGGGATCATAGACCCTGAAATTTGGATTTTGAGACCATGGTACGCAAGCATAGCCCACATGTTGGGAGTTTCGACCACCCATTTGTCAAGATGCTAGAAGCCGGGGTCTTTTTGGTCTCCCTGAAAGTGGCATAAGATAACGAAGAATCCAAAAAGGAACCCCCATCCCAGAAAGTCCCCTGGTACCTTCTTAGGATGTACTGAACGACCCTTTTGACCCCCCAAAAGCCATCCTCAGAAGGTAAGGGACCTGTGGGAAGAGGAAACCCAGGTTTTACCCCCCCCGTTTCCATGGGTTTTCGCTTAAAACGGACGCGTTTGCGCCAGGTGGAGGGTCAGGCAATGATCCTGGGAGACGAGGGCTGGCCCGTTGCTACAGCCAAGGGGATGCAGGCGCGAGTCAAACCGATTAGAGGTGCGTGTCGCGAGGCGAAATTATAGAAGCTAAGGAAAGGGGCAAAGGAGGTTTTCAGGTAGTTTGGGTTCTGTTCATTTTTGGTAGGGCATAGGTGTCCTTGTTGGTTGTTTTGCTAGAAAAATAGATGGCGATCCCTGGTTTACCTGGTGGTTTAATCGTCTACCAGGGCCATCTATTTCCCGTAAAAGGACGGCAATGGAGTAGGGGCTGCAAAAAGTCATGTTGTTTTCTACCATACCAAGGGTTAAACCAGTCGGTTATGAAGAAGAAGCAACCGTTTAAACTCAGGGTTTCCACCCTGCAAACTCATCAACTCACGAATGCAGTTTGTGGTTCACAGCCCCGGTGTCTGAGAGAACGAGGGGTGAAAGGAACTGGGGGATGGGCCTTCGAAGTATGCAAACCGGGCGCCACATGACAGCATTGAATGACACGGTGTCTGCGATGCTGCCGACCCTCTGAAGGCTGCTCGCAAAAGCAGCACAGCGATATGGCGTGATGTGAGGTTCGGAAGGTCAAGTTGTTCGTAGTCCATATTTGCGGGAGACATGGGGGAACTCACTAATTTTCCCGCAAACACCAGATTATTCACTGATTGTCCTGGCCCTCTTGGGAAACAAGTAGCTTTGAACGTGACGTGAACTATTTCACGCTCCTGACTTTGACTTCCCTTGGTACGAGGAACGTTTTGGATCACCCCCCTCAAGATCAATACTATGGAGCTTGAAAAGACAGGAGGGGTCCTCCCAAAGAAGATTCCCCTGAACAGAAGTACGTTTTGGGTGTTATGTGGATCTGCGTGGGCGCATCTCACTGTTTAAGTTACAAAGATACCTTTATCCCGTTCTTGGGGCTTGAACTTATTTGTAGGCCCTGGTATACATTTCTGTTTGATCCCAGACTTCCCGCTGGATTGGGAAATGCAGGGAATTCCCTTTTGGATTCCTCCTAAACACCATCCGAAACTGAGGAACTTGGAGACACATCACAGTGACCCGAAGATCCGCCTTTCCTGGGGTGCTCCAAGCTGAAAACGACGCCTAGAACATTGGTGTAGTTTCGAAGCGGAGCCATACGGTTCGTTAGACTTGACTTTTGAGTTGGGATGTATGGCATTGGCATGTGATCTTTTGTGAGGGTACCCGTTTTTTTTGTAAAGGAAAACCAAAAGGGCGGCTAAATCTATGGTGTGGGTCCCAGCACACCTAGGCTTCACCTATGCGGGGTGTCAAATGTGGCTTCCTAGGCCCCCGAATTTCTATTGCGAGCAATCAGGTTTGTTTGACACAGGGCTTCGATGTCCGTGTTTGGTTATCAAGGACTACAACTACCCTCACCCCTCGTTTTTGTGGCATGTGTTATATTAATGCAAAGGGCGTTTGTGTCCATGTTTGATATCACCGACCCCAGCTCTTTCCCCTTGAAATTATATGAGCAAACGTTAGATAAATGTGTGTTTGTGTGTGTGTTTTTGCCAGTAACCCCGCAAAATGGTGGCTTTCCTCTTGGCTTCCCTTCAAACCAGCCAACTCGGGGTACCCTTTAAAACACAAGGCACACCCAAATGGCCATGGTTCAAGACCAATGGTATCATTTTGGGATGGGTGCACCACCCATGTTCGTCTATTCTAGGGGGGATTAGGATGTTTCACTGGGGGTACGATTCGGGTTTTGACCCATGGCCAAATCGTGTCAAGGCAAATCGGCACCCTAATGCCCGCCCCCTGGTCCCTTTTGCGTGATCTGGCGGCGATTTCGCCAGTTTGAGATCACGGGCAAGGGCGCATTGGAGGCTGCGCCTTTTTGGTCGAATCACCGGGCGGCCTTTAAGGCAAAGAAAGGGTTTGGCCCTTACTGTTCGTGGCGGCCTTTTGGGGAATCGCCCTGGTTGTAAGACAGACAAAAAGGTTTCGGCCGTGGCAAGTTATCTTTCTTTCTTAGTTGTTTGGTTCTGATCATTAGAAGGGGGCTGCAAAAAAAACTAGCTTTGTTCTACCATAGCAAGGATTGTGAAGTGGTGTTGGGAACATTATTCAGGGTGCCTCAGAGGATACACTTGAAGATCACCTGGTACATGTAGAAGCCAATTGAATCAACGGGTAAAGGTTGGCTCCAATTTGGGCAAACTGTATTCAATGAGGAACCCATTATTTTGACATACTGTTGTCGTCACCTGGTACATGTAGAATCCATTTGAACCACCGTTAAAGGTTGGTTTCAATTTGGGCAAACTGTATCCTTTACTTTGAGGAATCCACTTCTTTTGACAGTTGCTGTTGTCAAAGTAAGCCACCATAGACTGGGTTGTTTCCCTTTAGCTTGCGACTTGGGGGGTGACTTTCACGTTGGGAATACAACGACGCCAGCGTTGAGAAAGATGTCCCATTTGTGTTGGGTTGCATGTGTTTCTTGCCTGTGCTTGAGCAAGGATGGTGGCTGCATTCCTTGCGACGTGCTGAGTCCATGTGAACGTGATTTCAACCATCGTCCTTTCCAAAAACGGGCCGATTTCCCTGGGTTTCTGGAGGTTCTCTAAAAAGAAGGATCCCTGGAAAGAATGGAAATGGAAGGTACCCCTAGAAGAATGTGGTGTTTTACATGGCAGGCTTCGGATGACACCATCGTCATGGGCAACCTGGGCTACTTCCAGGCACGGGGGGGTTGGACAGTTTCATTTCGGCAAGCTGAAAGCGGTTGTGGTTCCAAGTGGGTGCGGTTTTTCGAGGCTACTCCGTTTTGGTCTGAAAGAGAAATCTTAAATGACCACAGCCATGTTTTGGGGGGTCCGATTCCTGAAAAAAGACGCACCCAGGCATTTGTGGCGCCTAAAGAGACACCGAAGTTCCGAGCGTGAACAAAGAAATCAGTCCTGTAATACTGTGCACTGCAGACCTTTTTCATGGCGAATACCCGTCATTTACTCTGCAGGAGCCCCAAAACAACAGTCTATGACCAGCACCCTCAAACTGCGGCTGCTGGGTGCTGGGAATCTTCTGTTGGAGGGGGAGACCCTTGGTAGGAACCCCCTGTTTGCTTTCCGGGCCCCTCGTTTGATCCCGCTTTGTTTGGCGAGTTCCCCCCCAATCCCCATAAGGGTTCCAATGATTTCCAGCTATTTGTCTTTTCTACCACCCAGAGTCTTCTGATTGATTTAGGGCCTTCAAACAACCTGGTTTTGAGACCCCCAACCACCTCCAGGGTGTGGAGGGGTCGGGTCTTCCATTGAAAGCCGAAGCCGATCGGAGCCTCTGGGCAGGGGCACTGGGCAACTGGGAGCCCCACTTCCCTCAGCTGGTCTTGCGGCCACCAAAGTCTCGCTTGAGGTACGGGGAAATCCGGGATTTTACGGGGCTCGGGCCTCAGGTTTTGGCGATCAGGAAAGCTATGCTTGTGTGTTTGTGTGTTTGCGTGCCTGTGTCTACGTGCCTCAAATCGGGGGAATCATTCAAGTGCTTGGTTTCCTTTTGGTTTCTCATTCAAGCAATCCCAAAGGCGATTCCCGGAAGTGTGTGTTTGTATTCGATATGTTTGTCTCAGGCGGATAAAGCCTTGGATCTTTGAGTCTTCCAGTGTTGCTCCATACTGCTTTTCCCAAGTCCTTTGGGCGTGTGAGAGTTTGTTTGTGTTCATGTGTGTGTGTGTGTGTCTTAGAACGAGTTGGATCAAGATGGACTTCCTTATTGCTCAGCAGTCCCAGAAGCCGAGTGGAGACACTGCGCAGGTATCCGACATATTTGGCGCATCCCGGTTTCACGAGAGATCAACATGTTTCTGAGCCCCTCAGCAGACCAGGGCAGTGAGCCACAACATGGGACTATCAGAACAGTGACAGATCACAAGTTTAGCAGGAACCGGATGACTAAGGACGAATCCAATGGAGTATATACTCACTTCCTGTGTTGGACTTCATACTTTGCGGGAAGACCGTTTCGGCGGCAAAGAAACAGTTTGGATGTTTGTTTGGGACATCCGCTCGGGAAGTGAGCAAAGGAGAATCCCGAAGGATTATTATTGATGACTAAGCCGTTTGAACTTATCCAAACAGCAAGGATGGTCACTTCTAAGGCATCGTGATCCCTCGGTAAGACTCAGAAGGATTATCCGGTCCCAGCATCTTTTCAGACATCTCTCTGGAACCTGCGCAGAACCTTGAGGTCCGCCCCAAACTGCCTCCAGCACGGAAACTTGTAGCTATTGCCGTTGGGTTTCAGGCCAACAGTTTTGGAGGGGGAAGGGGTCAAGTACTTGGACAGCTGGATGCTCAACGTGCTTTGTAAGTATCTTATCACCACGGCCATACGATGCCATAAGTGGGACAGGGTGATTAGAACCTACTCAATCAAGTAGGTTGAACATCCAAGCAGGGAAAGAAGCACAGATCCTGATCCCACTGGAACCAAAAGCCCGATGTGTGTCTGCCATGCAAGGCCCATCTTGGGACTATGGGTTTGCACCTTTGCCCTGCATTCACGTTGCCCTGAAGCACCAACAAGCAGTCGGGTGGCTTCGCGTGGTCAAAGCACGTCGATATGGCCTCCGTCAGCACCCATTGTGCCTAGCTGAGCCATACACGGAGGCCAAGCCAGGGGTGCTTTAAGGAAGCCCTCAGGCTGCAAGAAGGTAGGGCAGCCAACAAAAACAAACCAGGTTTTGATCACTCAAATTGAAGCCCTTAAATGGACCTCTTTTGTTCTGCCAAACAAGTAAAGCAAGCAAATACATAAGCAAATTAAAACGAGGTATATCATGGCAGAACACCTGATATCAAGCACACGTTGTACCCAATCAATCATGGAAGCGGCGGTGCGGGTCGGGCGGGTCGGGCGCCCTTTCACGAGGAAACTCGTCCCTTGGCTGTCCGAGGCCTCGCTGAAGCCTGGGTCCTCCAACGAGACTTTCGAGCTGGTGACCTCCGAGGATTTGGAGGCCATCGAGTCAATGGGCTGAAATCAGAGCCACTTGCTCAAAACCGATGCGGGAATTGATGGAACATCCGACCTGTCTCACCAAGTGATTCAGTCCCAAGATCCGTTGCCAAACAGCCAGCCAGCTGGCAGGTGGTTAAGCCCAATCGCTTGAAATGAGCCACAATCAAAACCCGGGTAGATGAAGGTTAGTAAGGGGCAGTCCCAACCATAAATAGCGGCGGATGTCCGCCTTCTTGATTCTTTACATGGTTCTGGGTAGACAATTTTGATACCGGGTTTTGAGTGTGACTCAGATGTTGAAGTTACTTCCATTCGCTTCCAGGCTTCAGTAAATGGAGGGGTGGTTTCTGTTTTAGGGTCATTGCGAGGGTCCCAGGCTGGGGTGCTTCCGTTTGCTGATTTTGTTTTTCCCCCCTTGTTGGTCTCACAGGGCATCTGGCCGTGGTTCAAAACCAATGGTACCATTTTGGGATAGGTGCGCCACCCATTTTAGTCTTTAGTGGGGATTGGGATGTTCACTGGGGGGTAACTTCCCCATTCTTTCCAGGCATCCTTCTTTCTACAAAACCACCAACATTTCTAGGGAAAACAGCTGGTTTTTGAAAAGAAAGATGGCTGAAAATAATGGGGAATCAAACCCTGGAACTACTGGAAACCTTTTTCTTTGCTTTACGGGGCTGAAAATAGGGGAAGGTGAGCGCTGGGATCAAAGGCGTTTCGCTCAGATGGCTGTGGCTCCTTCTTTTTCAAAGGAATCGGACCCTGCAAAAAAAAAACACGGGTATTGCTCAGGATTGTACCTTTCAAGGGGTCAAAGTCAAGCGGAAGTTTCTATAAGGCTATGCCTCCGCAAAATGCCGGTAATGTCAACTATTGGAAGGGGACCTCACCGCGACGTTTTGGGTGGTCCGGAACTGCTGCGAACCGCTCCGGAGCTGGGCAGTGACCCTGCCATAGCTGTTGGGGAAAAGGTCAACACAGAAATACGGTAAAAGGATGGCGAACTTATCTTGCTGGTGCTCAGCAGGGAATGAGAAATAAAATGACCCCTATATACCATCGTTTCGTTTGAGGGATTCCCCAGGTTCATTCCCTCATTCCCTACTGAGCACCAGCAAGTTATCACAAAAATAGTTATTCCACGCAACCGTGGACAGCGGAAGAGTGAACTCATAGTGGGGGGAACGGGCCCGATGTATACCGTTCGCGTCTCAAGCTTTGTCAGCTCCCATAGGCCTGAGGAGTCGAGCATGGCACAGGCATGGCCTCCACATACAATAGTCTACCTGAAGAGCATCCTCAAAAACAAGCAACACCAAAGCACCGGCAGTCTCTTCGCACTTCCATCATAGACCTGTCTGTGGGACCGCCGAACAATTCCCCTCCAAACACAGTTCCATTCTTGGTCTACCTTCCCATCCACCTGACTCTGGGGCGGGTGTGTGTGTGTGTGTGTGTCCTGTGCATGTCTTGAAGCGGGTAGTTCAGCGTAGGGGGTCTAAAACCACAAAAGGCTTGTCAAGATGTATTACAGCAAGGAAGCCATCCAAATGTTTGGTTTCGCAGTCGTTGCCTTGAAAGGAACCCCCATGAGGTCTGCCCGTGTTGGTTTCCCTTTGCTTAACCCATCTTCTATCCCCTCTGGGTTTTGCTACGGCAACCACGTTTCTTTTTTTCCAAAACTACCTGAACCCTCAAACCAACTTTACAAAAAGGGGAATTCACCGACCAAAATTTTGGGTTGCCACCCATTGTGTCAGCTGGAAATTGGAAGGCTCAGGCACGCGAAACTGAAGAAACACCACCTCCCTTCATCAACTCACCTTCAGTGGGTTGGCCAGAAAGGGTCAAAACTCATGTTATTTTTACCAACATCTCCAATTGCTTGACCCCCCCTTGGTCGTTTTTCGATTGCCGACCTCGTTTTCTTTTCAAGAACGAAGAATCGCCCATGCGCCATGGCCTCCGATCCGTCCGCCGCTTCGGCGCCTCCACGCGCGGGGACTTCGCCACCACCTCGCTGCGGGGCGCGGGGCGGCTGGACCCGGGGCGCCGGAAGCGCGCCTGGAGGCGGGGGGGAACGGGGTCTTCTCCGGCCGCTTCGGCGGGACTCACCTCGGAGAGATTTGGTCCCCTTTTGAGTGGGGATTCATCACTTGAGGCGTTTAAGGGCATCATGTCGACACTGTACTGAACAAGGAGATGCAAGGAGGTGTTTACGAACGGCGCTTCGGCGCCCTTCGGCGCGGGAAGACTCGCGTGACTGACTCGTGGGGTGGGCGGGGTGAAGTGAGTGCTGGAGATGAAATTCCGTCCCAGACAAGAATATGTTCTCAAACAGCGATGTGTGTACCATCAGCATGTTTTTTGACGTACCTGTTACTAACCTGTTACTTCTTCTTTTTTTGCTTCGGCGGGGGTTTAAGGGGAACCACCATGCTTTCAACCTTTGGTTTTGTGCAAAGCATAGCGATTTCATGATGGGGGTTCGGTTTGCGACCTCACTCATCACGGTTCCCCTCTTGAGGATCCTTCTGTCAGGTTGGTGATTCATTGTATCCCCAGAACTTCTCCAGTTACCAACACAATTGCTGATGTCCTCAACACTGACACAAGGACGTAAGTCTTGTTGGGTTCTCACCATCAGACATGTATTATGTATTCCTCATTGATACTGCAAGTGTGCTGTCCAGAGACGCACTTTGGCGCCAGCAAAGAAACGGAGCGTTCACAAAATGTTTTTGTCTCATGGTTGCCGTCGTAGGAACCTTTGGCTGTTGAAAACACCCTATAGGAGGTTACGATCGTTTCTGCCCCAAGTAGAAGCGTGTCTTGACCATGGCAAGTATGTGGGAAGCTGTTTGGAAGGCTTAGTCAACATGTGACTCTTGTTTTTGGGAGGACGCAGGCGTGGATTTATGTAACTCTGGCGCAAACAACCAGGGACAATATCCCTTTTTGCACGTGTCCATGGTTTACTGGGCGCCGGCAGTTTGAACTGCGAGCCGGGCGGTGCAGATGCGACTCTATTCGTGGCCTTCGCCATCCCCTTTTGTGTTTTCCAGGGCTGGTTCCATTGGGTACCTTGCCATTTCAGGTGAATCACCTAGGACTCAGAACCCCCTTTTTATTGATATGGGGTAGCCCCTAGTTTTCGTGGGGGTTCATCATTTTGGAGGAGAACACTCCCCTATTAGTAAGCAGGGGTTTCTTCATCCGGGGTCAACATGAATTGCTGGCTTGAGCAACGGTTGTCCAAAGTGGCAAGTCCTTGTGCCAAGGTTGGGCATGTGTTTAAACAACAAGACCTTCCTTAGTTCCTGGACTTGAAACTTTTCAGTCAAACTTTTTGGGGAAGTCCATTCTAGTGGTACATAAAAAGCTCAATTTGTGTTTGCCCGGTCCACTCAGGAAGTGAGCCTTGTTCCTCTTGGGGAGCCTAAAAGGAGTTTGTAGAAACGATAGTTCTTCAGGTTGATTCTTTATTCTCTTCACCCATCACTCTCTTTTTAGACCGGACTCATTGTTTGAAGAGAAGATCCCGGAAGCCAGAAGAGAATGGACATGGAAGGTACGGCTAGAATAGTGAACTTTCCGCAACTTGTCTTGCGCGGAATTGGCCGAACCCTGCCTTGAAGCATCAACAAGGTCGGACCCCAGCAATTGGTGATTTCCTTTTGGTTTCTTTTTGAAACCACCCCAACGAGGTTGGCCTCAAAGCACACACCCTTGTGGGTTTGTCTAGAAAATAGGGAACTCTCCTGTTGGGGTCGCTTCCTTTCGGTTTCCATTTGAAGTCATCCCAAAAGAGTACCCCCCCCCCAAAAAAAAAAAGAAACAAAAGGAAAAAAAGGCACACCCATGTGAGGAGTGTGAGCAGGGTCAAGCTCTCAAGTTTGAGTGCTGCATCCCAACCTCGTCGCACCCATATCGCAATCCATCCCAGTAGATTGGCTTCCTTGTATAGCAGGTAACCAAGGGAACCAGCATGGACATGGATGGTTACTAAGGTGCACTGAATCCATTTCAAGAAGCTGTTTCCTTAGCATGCCTCAGCTAATCCCACCCCTTGGATCGATGTTGTTGTTTGTTTTCCCAAGGGCTACCCTCATTTGGTGGCAGTCCAAAAGGGAAACGTGGGCGGGTTCCCAAAATCAAGACACTGTGGCTTGAGTTGATGCTTGGCGTGCTTGCTGCGATCCCCTGCGCATGAAGATTGCTGGACTTTCCACTTGTTGGGGTTGGACCAGTTTAGTGGCAGACAAGTTTGGACTTTTGGCCAATCGATCGGAAGTGAGGAGCCAGGGGTTGATTCCCCATTCTTCTCAACCATCGTTCTTTTCAATAACCTGCCTTTTTCCAGGGCTTTCTGGAAAGAAGGATCCCTGGACATAATGGGGAACGTAGCCCTAGAGCTTTAGTACCAGGTCATGTTCCTTTTGGGTTTAAGGGTAGTTCCCTTCGTCTGGTCCCTGGATCTCCTGGATCCCGCGGACTCTCCCACGCCCGAAGGGAAGACTGCACGCGGGTTTGGGGGAATCTCTATGACTACAGCCTGGCGCCCCTGGCCGAACTTTGATTCGATGTGGGCGTGTCATCATCCTAGTCCGAAAGAAGCTGCGCATTGTTCACGAGAACGATGGTGATACTGTGGATGGACGAAAACCGTTCAAACCACTTTGAAAGCGTGGTTGCAACCATAGCGTTGGTTGGTATTTTCGGGGGAAACATCATTTCAGGGATTCTTAGGTGGTGCAGGATTTCGTCCATCCACAGTATGGATGTGGGACAAACTACTAAGTGAAATGCACAATGAGACTGTCAAATAGTAGATTGCCGCTGGCGAAAGTGTAGCTGTGTGAGTGAACAACCATTTCGAGTATCCAAGGATTGAGGTCTGAGAAGAACGGGGGATGCATTTCAGGATAGTTACTCTGTTGGATTTGGGCCCTCGTTGCTTTCTGGCAATGTATTTGTTGCCTTGCGACCTTAGCATGA